GCCTGTGGTGAGGCCCCGTGAGAGGGGGGCTGCGGGCCTGGCGGCCACACACAGGCAAGGCACCTGCTGTCCTCCGCGGCCCCTCCTCCACCCGCCCTGCTCCCCCTCAGCAGCTCTGGGGGCCGTGTCCAGCCGCCAGGACAGCAACGAGGCTCCTGCTTATCAGCTGCTCATCCGGCACGTCCCCCTCAGGAGCAGCGCCCGCCTTCGCCCCGGCCTGTGGTCCAGCAGGCCGCCAGATTCTTCTCGTCTGGCCCCTGGCTCCAGCCTCCTTCTGCCCCCAACCCGTCTCCAGTTGGTGGCTGAGGGGACCTTCTAGAAAAAGTCACCGTCATGCCATTCCCTGGCTTACAATTCCGTTATAGCTCCCGCCATCCATCCAGACTCCAGCTAGTTTAGTCCCTGTTTTCTCTGGTCTCAACTCCCACCATGTCTCCTGCGAACCCCACTCTGCCGTCCTTCCCGTCTCTCTCTGTTTTCTTGCTGCCGAGCCTTGAACCTCCTGTGCTTTCAGCCTGAGCTATCTTGCCCTCCCTCCTCACCACCCAACATCTCTGCTTGGCAAACATTACTCATCCTTCAAGGCCACCAGAACACCGCCTCGGCCGCAGGGGACTAGTCATCTCCGCCTCCCGCTCCCACCACCCTGGGTAAATGCTGCCGTCATTTCTTCAGCAAACGTCTACCGGGTGCCAGACAGTGTTCCCGAGCACTTTGCAAACATTAACTCACTTAATTTTTATAACCACTCAATGAGGGGGTTATTAGCGCTATCGCTCTTATGGCTGAGGAGCTGAAGGCCCCAGAGAGGGTGGGTCAATTGCCCCATCGCTTAGCCGAAGGAGGCAGAGCCTGCCCTGAAGCCCAGGCCGCGAGGCTCCAGCGCCTGGACTCTGATCCATTCCACCGTGCGGCCTCTGCTTGGATGAACGTCACTGAGCACTTAGCATTGAGCTAAGCGATAGGAAAATCCCAATGTCGGGCTTGTTTGCCCGATCAAAGCAGCACATTCATCTGGTTCCCTGTGCCGGGCGCTTGCGACACAGCCAGAAACTCTGGAAAGACATACCTTTGCCCCCAGAGAGGACACAAGCTTAGAGAGAGGTGACAGGGAAGGAGAAGGGGCGGAGGGACGAGTGGCCTGATTCCGGGTCTGAGAGCCCCTGCCGAGGAGGACGGAGTCTAAGGCCTGAAAGAGGAGTGAGAGGCGGAAGGGGAGCGGGAGGGAGAGGGAGGGAAACAGAAGGGGCTTCCAGGCAGAGGCGCAGCCTGGAATAGCATAGGCTAAGGCCTGAAAGCTAAGAGAAACAGCTGCCCACCCTGTGACCTCCAATTAGTACCTGGCACTGACCAGTTGCTCAATAAGGATTTGTCAAAAGAATATATTAAACATGCAAAGAAGTCCAGAGAGCTAAAGATGATACAATGAAAGAGGGGAGGGGAGAGCCAGAGAGAGATAAACAGATCGGCCTTCTCCATCTGCCCAACCGAAAATAGAACCTGCGACCGCGTGGTGCATGGGACAGTGGTCGACCAGCTGAGCCACACCGGCCAGGGTGGTTTCTTAATTTATTGTTAATCCTCACCTGAGGATATTTTCCCCATTGATATTTATTTATTTATTTATTTATTTATTTATTATTGATTTCAGAGAGAGAGATAGAAACATCAATGATGATAGAGAATCATTGAATGGCTGCCTCCTGTACACCCCCACAGGGGACCAAGCCCGAAACCCAGCATGTGGCCTTGACTGGAATCGAACCTGGGACCCTTCAGTCCACAGGCTAATGCTCTATCCACTAAGCCAAAGTGGCTAGGGCTCCCATTGATTTTTAAAGAGTAGGAGGGAGGGGGGGAGGGAAGGAGAGAGAGAGAAAAACATTGATGTGAGAGACACATCCATTGGTCACCACCCCTGCATGTGCCCCAACCGGGGCCGGGGATCAAACCTGCAACCCAAGTACGAGCCCTTGACCAGTAATTGAACCGTCAACCCTTCAGTGCATGCACCAGTGCTCCAACCACTGAGCCACACCGGCCAGGGTGAAAGTGGGGTTTTAAAAGAGGCGAGCGATCCACTCAGGTTTAGTTGCTTGTTGTTTTACTTTAAAGTCAGGCTTAATGAGGTGTGATTATGGACAGGAACGTTTCCCTTTCCTCTGTGACGTTCTATGCGGCTAGTGAAGGCATCAGCCGTGCAGCCACCATCAATAGTTCCATCACATCCCAAACTCCTTGTGCTGCCCGTTCCTGGCCAGCCCCTCCCACTCCTCTCCGTGGTTGTGGGTTCGCTGTTTTCCAGAATGTCACGTGGATTACTCAGGTAGAAGGCAGCCCTCCAATCGGCCTCTCCACTTAGCACTGCACGCTTGAGCTGTGTCCCTGTGGCGTGTGTCGGTGGCTGGTTCCCTGCTCATCGCTGATTGGAGTTCCACTGTATAGGGGAATCTGTTTGTACAGATACGCCGTTTGCTTAGCTGCTACTTGCCAGCTGAAGGATTCCAGTTCGCCTTAAAAAGCAAACATCGCTGCACCAAGTCCAGTGGCACTGAGTCCAGTGGCACCGAGTCCAGTGGCACGCAGGCCCTGCCTCTCCGATGTTTGCCCCAGGCCTTTGCCCGCGGCACTGGTGCCAACACCGGAGATGGGCTCTGTGTCGCTGTCCCTTGTGCTGGTGCTGTTCCCAGCACCCAGTGGGCACAGCAGCTCTGAGTGAGCCGTGGGAGCCGCTGGCACAGCGTGGGGGAGAGTGTGGGGAGGGCACCGAGGTTCAGCAACAGGCCGGTGGCTGAGGGTAGGGGTGAGGGGTGAAGATCAGGGACGTGGCTTTGGGGAAGAAGAGCCCACTTCTGAGAGTAGAGCAAGCCAGAGGGTATGGCGTTACTTCAACTTGGAGCAAAAGTGCGTTAACAAAACCCAACCCAGCCCGGCCCAGCCCAACGCCCTCACAGGCTATCATCATCCGGTTGTCTTCCCTTCTCCCGGCTTCTGTGAGGCTGCAGATCTTCTCTTGGCCGGCAGAGGGGGCTGATGCCCCATGCCTGAGCCTCTCTGCTCTCATCCCATTCATTTCACAGGCGGGAGGGCACATTCGCTGATGCAGCAGGAAGGACCTTAGGGACCAGCCACCGGGCCTATAACTATTATTTTACAGGCGAAGGACTCAGCCACACTCCTGAAGCTCTGTCCCACAGAGCGGGGCTCACACCCAGCATCCCCGGGTACAGCTCCCATCTCTAGACAGACGACAATTTATGGAAACATCAGGTGTGGGAGGGTCTCCAAGGCGGAGGGCAGAGTCAGAGGAGCAGCCGCCACCACAATGCTGGCGGGCCTGACTCTGCTGCCCGTTGTGTGGCCCTCGGCCCACTTGCCTTTGCTCCTGTCTCACCTGGAAAAGCCGAACCCCAGCTTTAGAACACGGTGCCGGGAGAAGCCCGGATGAGAGACACACAGCTCCTCTTTTCCTGGCGCTTCAGGGGGCTGGCAGGCAGCAGGTGATGGAGACGCTGCTCACCCGCTCCTGGCTGGTCTGCATCTGCTGAGCCAGCGCTAAGGGTGCCAGGAAAGACACAGGACATGGCCAAAAGGTGCAGTTCAGATAACCAATGGATGTATTTTTAACCTACAGATTTCAGAGGGAGAGAGAGAGAGAGAGAGAGAGAGAGAGAGAGAGAGAGAGAGAGAGAGGTGCTGCGCCTCCCATTTATGCATTCTTTGGCTGACTCTGACATGTGCCCTCACCGGGGACTGAACGAAACCTTGGCTCACTGAGACAGCGCTTTAATAACCAACAGAGCTGCCCGGCCAGGGCACCAACAGATACTTTAAAGTAAATGTATGTTCTGCCAGGACCGGTTTGGCTCAATGGATAGAGCATCGGCTTGGGGACTGAAGGGTCCTGGGTTCGATTCTGGTCAAGGGCATGTACCTTGGTTGCGGGCATATCCCCCGTAGGGGGTGTGCAAGAGGCAGCTGATCGATGACTCATCGATGTTTCTAACTCTCTATCTCTCTCCCTTCCTCTCTGTATAAAATCAACAAAATATATTTTAAAGTAAATGTATGTTCTAAACATCACCTAGGACATGTTTATCCTAAAACATCCTTGATGTTTGTCAGAAATTTAGGTGTAACTGGGCGATGTGTGTTTTTACTTGCTCAATCCTGCCACCCTGGCAGACCACAGGGGCCCCCGGCACCCCAGCCCCTCTCCCGGGACCCCTAGATCTTCACCTTGTTGGCTAGTGCTCAGTTTTGCTGGTTGTTAAATAGAATTGACCCTTGAACAACACATGCAATTTTTTTTTCTCGATAAACACTTGCCATGGTTGGGATGCATGGATCTGCCGTGTTTTATACAGGTGACGTGAGCATCCGTGAATGTTGGTATCATTGGGAGGGGAGGGTACCAGAAGCAATCCTCCATCGCTGCCAATGGATAACTGAAGTTCTGGGGAGTCAAAGGCTTTTGGGAGCCCTGCAGGTGTGGCTCTGTTGTTTGGGTATCATCCCGTGCACCCTAAAGTTGCTGGTTCAATTCCTGGTCCGGACACATGCCGGGTTTTGGCCTTGATTCCTGGGTAGGAGGCGAACAGGACGCAGTCCATCCATGTTCTGCTCTCACATCGACGTTTCTCTTCCTCTCTAAAAATCAATACAAATATTATTTATTTAAAAAGGTGTTTTTGTTGTTTTTTAATTGATTTCAGAGAAGCAGGGAGAGGAAGAGAGAGAAACATGAATGACGAGAGAGAACCATTCATTGGCTGCCTCCTGCATGTCCCACCCTGGGGATGGAGCCTGACCCGGGCCTGTGCTCTGATGGGGAATCGAACCGTGACCTCCTGGTTCATAGGTCAGAGCGCAGGCACTGAGCCACACCGGCTGATCAATGACAACACCTGTTAAAAAGCTGCTTAGGCATGCTCAATGGCTCGGGGCTGCTGCCCCTCAGGGTCCACGTGTCTGATAACCACCTCCCCCTTTCTCCCCAGGCCTGGCGCTCCTGCTGCCCCCGGCCACGCTGGACGCCCTGGCGGACAGCTGGCTCCATGAGGACTGCCCGGGCCTGGACCTGGCGGCCGCGGCCTCGGGGGCGGAACCGGCGCAGGCGGCGCTGTGGGCCAAGTCCCCGGGCGTGCTGGCCGGGCGGCCCTTCTTCGACGCCGTGTTCGCCCGCCTGCACTGCCGCGTGTCCTGGCTGCTGCCCGAGGGCGCGGCGCTGCGGCCGGTGGCGCGCGTGGCCGAGGTGCGCGGCCCGGCGCACGCGCTGCTGCGGGGCGAGCGGCCGGCCCTGAACGCGCTGGCGCGCTGCAGCGGCGTGGCGAGCGCGGCGGCCCGGGCCGTGGCGGCGGCGCGGGGCGCGGGCTGGGCCGGGCGCGTGGCGGGCACGCGCAAGACCACGCCCGGCTTCCGGCTGGCGGAGAAGTACGCGCTCCTGGTGGGCGGCGCCGCGGCGCACCGCTACGACCTGGGCGGCCTGGTGATGGTCAAGGACAACCACGTGGCGGCCGCCGGCGGAGTGGCCGAGGTGCCGTCACAGCCCCCCAGGCCCTCTCTGCACCCCGCGGGCGGGAGGGGAGGACCCTGCACCCCGCGGGCGGGAGGGGGATGACCCTGCTCCCCGCGGGCGGGAGGGGCATGACCCTGCTCCCCGCGGGCGGGAGGGGAGGACCCTGCACCCCGCGGGCGGGAGGGGCATGACCCTGCACCCCGCGGGCGGGAGGGGAGGACCCTGCACCCCGCGGGCGGGAGGGGGATGACCCTGCACCCCGCGGGCGGGAGGGGGATGACCCTGCACCCCGCGGGCGGGAGGGGCATGACCCTGCACCCCGCGGGCGGGAGGGTGATGACCCTGCACCCCGCGGGCGGGAGGGGGATGACCCTGCACCCCGCGGGCGGGAGGGGAGGACCCTGTACCCCGCGGGCGGGAGGGGCATGACCCTGCACCCCGCGGGCGGGAGGGGGATGACCCTGCACCCCGAAGGCGGGAGGGGAGGAGCCCCTGCACCCCGCGGCCGGAGGGTAGGAGCTCCCTCTGTGAACGGGCTTGCATGCGCTTCTCTAAAGCTTGGCTTGATGTTCAAGAGCAAAGGACCAGCTGGGGAGCCAGAGTCCATGGCTTCAGCCTTGGGCCCCTGACCCCGTCGCCCACTGTGAAAGGTTCTTTTTTTCTTTTTATCCTCCCCCCACGACATTTTCCCATTGGTTTTCAGGGAGAGTGGGAAAGAGAGGGAAAGAAACATCCATGTGAGAAAAACACATCCAGGTTCCGGGAGAAACCAACACACGCCCCCTGACCCGGAATGGAACCGATTCCTGAGCCAGAATGGAACCGGGGACCCTTTGGTCCTCAGGCCGAGGTTCTCTCCCCTGAGCCAGACCGGTTAGGGCTGGGACAGGCTCTTAAAGAGCCCTTCCACTTTCATGCTCTGGGTCAAATTGAACTCATCCAAATGCCAAATATTGCTGATGTTTGGACTTTTTTGTTGTTGTTGTTGACCCACAAGAGTGACCATTTCATGTGGTTTCTGCCTAAACGAAAGAAACCCCCCTGATGCCCGGTTTCCTCATTAGCCCCAAGCTTGCCCCCTGGGACCTTTGCGTGCCAGTCCCCGCCCCGCGGGCCCCTAACGCCACCCCGGTCCCTCTCCCGCGGCAGGCGGTGCGGCGGGCCCGGGAGGCGGCCAGCTTCACCCTGAAGGTGGAGGTGGAGTGCGGCAGCCTGCAGGAGGCGCTGCAGGCGGCGGAGGCCGGAGCGGACCTCGTGCTGCTGGACAACTTGGTGCCGGAGGTGAGTGGGGCCGGAGGTGAGTGGGGCCGCCTCGGGGCGGGGCGGGGCCGGGGCCGGGGCCGGGCCGTCACCTCCCCCCGGCTTGTGCCCGCAGGAGCTGCACCCCACGGCCCAGGCGCTGAAGGCCCGGTTCCCGCGCGTGGGCGTGGAGGCCAGCGGGGGCATCACGCTGGACAACCTGCCCCGCTTCTGCGGGCCGCACGTGGACGTCATCTCGCTGGGGATGCTGACCCAGGCCGCGCCGGCGCTGGACTTCTCCCTGAAGCTGTTTGCCGAGGGGGCCGCCCCCGAGCCCCGCGCCCGCCCGTCCTGACGCCGAGGCGGATGGCACTGGCGACGTGGTTTCCTGGGACTTTACCTCTGCTCACCTCGGTTTCCTAGTCTGTAAAACGGGTCTAATAAATGCCAACCGTGTACGCTTCTGTGGGCAGTAGTTAACACATGATACGCGCTCGGGAAATACTAGGAATGGCCAGAGCTGTCTTCTCTGCTGTGCACCTTTTCCACACTCAGCCTTCTCGCCAGAGCAGCTGTGTCTCCAATCGGCAGTGTCTGCCGGCCCCGGTCAGCCAGGCCGGCCGCCCGGTCCGTGCAGGTTATAGGTAACGCCGATCTTCTCTGTTGAAGTAAGTCCAAAGGGCCCTGTCTGCAGTGTAAAGAGACGTGAGGGATAAGCAAGCCGTGGTCATAGTTTGAGCGACACTGTTGTTTTGTTTTTTTGAGTGACAGTACGTGTTCTGCAGTGACGGCCCTCGTGGTTCAGGACACGTGGCCTCGGGCGTGAAGTTCGGCTGGAGCGTCGCTTGGCTGATGCTCTGGCTGTAGGTCACTGTCTGCCTCTCACCTCCGGCTGTGTGCCGCCTCTTTGATGGAGGCGGGAACCTGTCCATTCCCTGTTTCCTGGGTCCCCAGCAGACGTCCCCGTGTGTCTCCCCGAGGTGAAGGCTCTCGTGGTTCGATCCGGCTTTCTAGCTGGTTCCACGGGCCGTCAGCTGGGAGAGGTCGGTCAGTCGGTTGGTCGGTCGGTCTGTCAGTCGTAGAGCAGTGGGGCCGGGCAAAGGCGTACTGAGGGCGGAGGCATGGGCGGGGCGGGGCCATGATCAGGGGCTCCTTCCTCCACGCACAGCCAGGCCGGGGCTGAGCTGCCGTCTGAATCCTTCTCCCCAAACGCACACAGAGGCCTCGCTCACCGTGTAGCCGCCCTGCCCCAGCCCCAGCCCAGGCTCCTCTCTGGAACCCTCCGGTGGCTCTGAGGGACCGGACACAGGGCCCCCCTAGGACGAAGGTGGCCCCTGAGGTGACTCCCCAGAGGGTCCAGTCCGGAGCCCCCTCCCCGCCCAGCACCCCTTCCCTTCCCCTTTTCCAGGAGAGAAAGCCACTCCCCCAAAGGCCCTTCTCTGCCTGTGGGGTACCCTCCCCGAGCCCCTTCTCCCGCCCCGAGCGGCCTGGGAAGGGGCAGGTCAGGAAAACCGTGAGCTCAGCTGCGATGCAAAAGCCCCTGCCGCTCAGGCCCGCCGGGAGCAGGCCGGCCGGGGAAGACTCCCCGGCAGAGGCGCCGCCAGTGGACGCCGCCTGCGGTGACGCCCCGAGGGGGGGGCCCTGTCCCAGGACACCGCCCAGAGGTGCCTGGAGCCCCCTCCTCTCACACCCACCCCAATCCCGCCCTTCCCCAGGGAAGCCACGAAAGCTCGGCCACCCACCGTCCCCTCCAGGCAGCTGAGACCTCCGAGCCCGGCTCAGGCCGGACTGAAGCAGAACAGACCCCTGGAACCAGGGGCTCCGGGGTGTGAGGACAGGGGGAGGCCCCTGGAGGAGCGGGAACTGGAGCAAAGCAGGTGGGCCCAGGCGGGGAGGAGCAGAGGGAAGTGTGCCCAGAGTCCACTCCAGTGTCCCAGGCCCCAGGTGGGCGGAGTGTGTGTGTGAGTGTGTGTGTGTGTATGTTTGTGTGTGCGTGTGTGTGTGTGTGATTGTGTGTATGAGTGTGTGTGTGTGAGTGTGTGTGTGTGTGAGTGTGTGTGAGTGTGTGTGAGTGAGTGTGAGTGTGTGAGTGTGAGTGTGAGTGTGGGGAGGAGGGCGGCCGGTGGAATGAGACAGAGGGCAGAGAAGAATGAAATCTACCGCCGAGTCCCCAGCTCTCCCTGCGCCCGGGAAGGGCTCTGCCTCAGTGGCCTTCGGAGGTGGCTGGGCCCCCGGCAGCGGGGCTGGGGGGCGGCCTGGGCAAAGGCTCGGAGGCAGCGACCACTTGGATGTTCGGTGGGAGATCCGAGCTGGGATCGGAGAGGTGAGGTGGCTCGGAGCCAGGCGGGGCCCAGACCACAGAATGGGAGTCAGAGGGCTCGGACTCTGTCCGGGAGCAATCAGCGGGGAGCCGAGCGTATTGGCTGCTCCATGCGGCTCCTGCAGGGAGATCTATTTGAGGAACCGGAGGCTGCAGCAGCCGCTCCCTCCGAGGGCGTGGCCGTGGGTGCGGCCGTGGGGTGCGGCTGTGGGGGTGCAGGAGGAATGCCGGCGGAGGACACAGCAGCTGCAAAGGCTCAGCGGCTTAGGCCTCTGGGATGGGTGCCGCGGGAAGAGTTGCAGGTGGGGAGACAGGGGAGGGGGGAAGTGGTGGGGGGCGGACGGCAAAGAGGAATCTCACCCTCAGCTGGCACTGCCCTGTCCACCTGGCTGCCCTTCCTCCTTGCTGGCCCGCTGGCGGGTTTGGATGATTTCCTCAGGCTGCCCCACGCCCAGCACAGACTGAGCCGGCAACACTGGCCGGTGAGCAGGAAGGGAGCGCACTGACCGGTGCCCTTGCTCAGCACGTGTCTCCCTCTCTCCCTCCCTTCCTCCCTCCGTGCTCCTGCTGGTGGGTGTGAGACCCCGGGGAAACGGAGGCTTTCTGAAGATAAGAGATGGGCCAGACACCGGTGAAGTGTGGGGCAGGGTCTGAGCACCTACTATGTGCCAGGCAATATTCTAGACACCGAATGTACAACAACGAAAATCCCCGTCCTCAGTTTATATTCTAGGGTGGGGGTGGGGGGTGGGGGGAAGAATAGACAATGGAAAAAATAGCTGAACATACCAAATGTCAAATCCACTCATGGCCACCAGAGGACACTGTAATTCTACCGTCTTCCATTCTCTGCTTCCATCTTCCATGCTCCCTTTCCAGGTTCCAAAGATAATAGCCAAGGAGGCTATGGATACTAAGTGTAGCATCTGCTCAAGAATGAAAGCTGAGCCTTAGCCAGTTTGGCTCAGTGGATAGAGCATTAGTGTGCGGACTGAAAGGTCCCGGGTTCGATTCCAGTCAAGGGCATGTACCTTGGTTTCGGGTCATCCCCAGTTGTGGGTGTGCGGGAGGAGGCAATTGGTCGACAGAGATGTTTCTAATTCTCTATCCCTCCCCATTCCTCTCTGTAAAAAATCAATAAAATATATATTTTTAAAAAGAATGAAAGCTGAGGGGTGTGTGTGTATATGCAGTAGTTCCTTTTTTACCTGCTTTTCCAGGTTAATCCCCTTATCAGATCCCCATTCAATTGCCTAAGATATTTCAGTGATTTTCAAGGCCTTGTGTATCACAGAGATCACAAGACTCATATTCATTCACCAACCCATCCATCTTCTCTGCTTACCCACCTTCTCACCCCTCCTCCATCCACTCTCCTGGCCAACCTCTCAGCTTCTCTCTCTCTTAATTCTCAGCTGCCCTGGACCCCATCCGCCCGCCTCCTTCCATGTTTCCATCCCTTGCTACACCTCCTCCCACCCACCAACTGGGGCCTTCAGTGGTCAGCAAACTCGTTAGTCCACAGAGCCAAATATCAACAATACAACGACTGACATTTCTTTTGAGAGCCAAATTTTTTAAACTTAAACTTCTCCTAATGCCACTTCTTCAACATAGACTCGCCCAGGCCGTGGTATTTTGTGGAAGAGCCACACGCAAGGGGCCAAAGAGCCGCATGGGGCTTGCGAGCCGCAGTTTGCCGACCGCTGGTCTAGAGGGGCTGGGAAGGCAAGAGGTCAAACCAGACTGACCGCCGGTGAACCCGGTGCCTGCGTTTTAGAATGCCAAGGCCGGTGAGAGCTGAGAGCATTAAAACATGGCGAGGCATTAGCAGCCAACCAAACTGTGTCTGGAAGCAACGAGACTCTGGATCTTTAAAACATCCCACGGCGCTATTATGTGGTGCAGACACATGTGTTAAGTCATCATTAGCCCTTCAAGGGATCCTGGTAGGTACAATCCCATAAATGTTTCACCACCTCCGTGCTTTGCTCCAGTCACTTCCTGAGGAAGGTCGTCTGGCAGTTACTCAGGAACAATTAAGACCTGCTTTCTGGGCCCTAATAGCGGCGTGTCAGACGGAACTGCAAAGTGCAGGAGAGAGCTGACCGCGAGGCTGTGGGCAGCGGCTCCGGCAGTCCCTGGCGCAGGAGGCCGCCCAGCTCTGCGGCTTCCTCCCCTCCGGCTCGGAGTGCTCTTCAGAGCAGTGGACGGGCCCAGCACACCGGAACACGGATCCTTTGCCGTCTCCAGCTCGGTGGGTCCCTGGGTGACCTCCCTCTTCCTGAGCGCAGAGATTCAGAGGCCTGAGCCCAGCAAAGGGCTGTCCGCAGCCTCTGGCTGCCTTCCGACCAAAAGCAAGCGTCTTCGTTGTTTTGTTTTGTTTGTTTGCTTTGTATGTGGAACACGAATTCAAGCCTAAACTCTATCTTGAGATTTTTAAAACTTTATTGTTGAAAGTATAACAAATGTGCCGGGACCAGTTTGGCTCAGTGGATAGAGTGTCGGCTTGGGGACTGAAGGGTTCCGGGTTCGATTCCGGTCAAGGGCATGTACCTTGGTTACAGGCACATCCCCAGTGGGGGGTGTGCAAGAGGCAGCTGATCGATGACTCTCTCTCATCGATGTTTCTAGCTCTCTCTCCCTCTCTCTTCCTCTCTGTACAAAATCAATAAAATATATTAAAAAAAAAGAAAAAAAAAGAAAGTATGACAAATGTCCCCACCTCACCCTTGCCTTCTCCCCGGTCTTCCCCGGAGACTGAAATATCTCATTACATTCAAACACATCAGGTTTTCTGGCAGCTTCTTTTCTCAGGGACACCTCTCCGCAGCCCCCAGACCTGCCTGCCTGCGGCTGCTGCAGAGCGGTCCCTGAGGCTCCTTCACCGCCCACTGGGCTTCCTTCACATGTTTTTTTTTTTTTTTTTTTTTTTTAATTGATTTCAGAGAGGAAGGGAGAGGGAGAGAGAGGTAGAAACATCAATGATGAGAGCGAATGGGCTGCCTCCTGCACATTCCCCACAGGGGATTGAG